CAAAATGTATTGCGACCACAAAGCGAATGCCTACATTCTACAACTTACACAATTTTATAAACATATATAATATTTTTTTTTTACTTCATAGGTACTTTTATAAATAATGTATAAGATAGTATAATGTAAGTAAATAGGTACTATCAGTGTATGTTGAGATCCACTCTCGTGGACCCCCAAGTATAAATATATATAAATAAGTAACGGTATAATGTAAGTAAATAGGTACTATCAGTGTATGTTGAGATCCACTATCGTGGACCCCCATTTTCATTTCATGGACCCCCAAATTTCTTTGACGTAGACCCCTTGCAGTTTGTCATAGACCCCTGGGGGTCGATATAGACCACTAGTTAAAACCTTTACAATTTTTGATTATTTTAAAATATGTTTTATTTCTTGCATTTTGTCATAGACCCCTGGGGGTCGATATAGACCACTTTGGAAATCACTGGTCTAAAGTGTGAGCTTTGTTGCGTATGGTTGTGCCATCCATATTCTCGCCATTTATTAAATTTAAATGTGATATTTTACATATATAATTTACTTTTAAATTAATATTACTATTTAATGCAAATTATACAATTACATAAATAATTACAGGCTTCTCTGTAAATTTAGCCAACTAAATGTTCATTTATATTATTACAAGTTCGGCACCACATATATTAGTTAATTATTTTACTCACTAAATCTAAAAATAATGTATTGAAATAAATAAAAATTACTAATATATTATTATCCTTACATACGTTATTTCCTGATTAGCTAATGTTTAGATATATTAATTTCTCCATTTTGCAGAAGAAATTACAGAATGAATCAACAAGTACTTGGGTAAGTGGGTATCGAACCTACTCAATCCAGCATGTAAAAGTACCAACAAACTTGTAAAAACCTGCACATAATGATATGCCAGTATCATCTTGTTATACACACAGTCTTAGAGCAAAGATGTTAATAATTATAAAGATGTCCCAATATAAATAATAAATTTACAAAAAATCAATATCAGGTAAGTAGGGGGTCTAACCAAAACCGAAAAACATTGCAAGGGGTCTACGACACAAAAAAGTTTGGGAACCTCTGATTAAGACGGTAAATATTTAGGTTATGTTTTGGTATATTGCTTTCCATTGCTTTCGTTTGAATTAAGGTTCCATAGAGACCACTGAAGATGGCGCCACTCGATTTTCAAAGTTGCGTGGGCACGTCACCACACAGCGTCTTTGGTCCCCTGTGCCCTCGCAAATTTTATAATCGAGTGGCGCCTCCTCGAGTGCTGCCAATGGAACCTTACTCCAAAATAACATAACCTTAATATGCACTGTCTATATTATATGTTTTGTCGCGTATGGCTTGTGGCATCCACATTTATTAAATTTAGAGGTGATATATAATTTACTTTTATATTATCTAATATTACTATTTATTGCAAATTATACAATTACATAAATAATTACAGGCTTCTCTGTAAATTTAGCCAACTAAATGTTCAATTATATCATTACAACAAGGTGTTACAAGTTTGGTACCACATATATTAGTTAATAATTGTATATCTATAAAAAAAAATAGAAATAACAATTTTATGTATATTTTGTATTGTATAATACTACCATTTATAAATCACTCAGATTTATTCATCTATATCATCACCGTGATTTAAATTTAAATGTACAATATTTATAATTACAATAAATATACACAAATAAAATTTACATCATATATAGAAAAAAAATAACGAAACTACAATTATTAACAAATATAAAGTAAATTAACAAATTATTATGATGATAAGATACCCAAGATTTCTATTTTCTGAAAATTGAAAAATATTAGTATGAATTATTAAATATTTTTTTTAAATACTTATCTTTTCTCTATATATTTTAAGCCCTTCCAACAGTCCACTACTCAATAACTCTAAAAATAATGTATTAAAATAAATAAAAATGACTAATATATTCTTACCCTTACATTCGTTACTACCTGATTAGCTAATGTTTAGATATTTCATACGTCTCTTCTAATTAATTTCTCAATTTTGCAGAAGAAATAACATAATTTCGCAACAAGTACTTTCAATTCAATCCCCGCAATAGCCAACGGAAAACGGAAAGTGATCTAAAGCATATTGGAGAGATGCAGTATTTTCAGTACAATGTCTGTATTTTTGGATATATACAGGAACTGGACAAGTGTATGTGCAAGTGTTTACTATTGTGCAATACATTTTAAATATACACTTACTGGGAGTTTACTTGTAGTTCAATTTATTTCAATCCTAAATGAAATTCTAAATAGCCTAAAACAAATTACTTAAATTTATCCCACCTTATTGTATTGACAAATGTTTCTTCAATCAGACTGGAAAGCTAAAATAAATTAAATATATCCAATGGCACTTACAAAACAACCTTGGGAATAAAGAACTAAAAGTAAATCTAACAAGGATTTTATTGCCATTCCACTAATTTAACAATACTTACTAATTAATAGACTAATTAGTCTTAAGGAAGACTAATATGTTTATTAATAATAATTAAACTTATTTGGATCAGAACAAACTCGGTTAAAAGTAGTCAAGCAGTAGTGGTTCCAAATGTATATAGTGCGAAAACGTTAAAGCAATAAAAACTATTTGAAAGGATAAAGTAAATATAGGTAAAATGTATGTAAAAGTTTGTTACTGCTTGATATTTCAAATTATTTGGTGCTAATATTTGTGGCGCTGGTACTTGTGGCGCCGCGCTATGTGCTGCCGATGTACTAAGGAACGCCACCGCAGTGGCTATACAACAAATATTTCATATGACTTGGTCCCCCTGGCCCATATTATCAAATTGCGTCAATGTATTAAAAAAAAACACTAGCGCAACTTCTCCTGACCTAACCTAGGGCACTCGTGTGAATAAGGAAATAAATATGTCTATAAATTATTGAGATGTATTTCTAAAATTCAACCAAAATCAATACAGGCCAACCGAAAAAAAATGTAATTTACTGTTGTACAGAAAATAATGCAAATAATCATAATGCATTTATCACTAAAGTTTCTGAAACAATCGTGTCAAAATAGTCATCGCCGTTCCCAAAATTAAACAAAACTATACGCGACGCGCTTCCGCATTCTCATTCAATCCAACCCAAATTTGGATAACTGAGCTGCTTCTGATTTGTTTAGTTTTGGGAACGGCGATGCCTATTTTTGGGAAGCGAGTCAAAACCCCAACATAGGCATTGGTATTGATGAGAATGCGCAAGCGCGTATAGTTTTGTTTACTTTAGAGAACGCCGATTTGTTATAAACTGGTATCTCCACTGATCTCCACAAGAATGAGAATGTCAGTGGGTACGAGAGTGATGCGGATACATGTATGCGTGCGCATTGTTTATTTACTTTTGAAAACGCTGTGGATCTTTTGTTTGGGGTCTGCACAAAGACATTTGACGTGATTGTTACAATGTCTTCCGGATTTTTTTGTACTGCTTGTGCAAAAACATATTCTTGCAATTCCTCCTTGCGATCACACGTTAAAAAATATTATCCAGGTAAAATATAAATGTATTTCTATTAATTATTTTAAATTATTTAATTCATCTTATAAATAACTTGGATGAAATTGCACCAAATAAAATTAAATACCAGTGTGAGTATTGTTTAGAAACTTTTACCAATTCAAGAGTTTACAATAAACACACTAAAGCTCATCATTCAACATTTAATTGACCATTTCAAAACAATTAATAATGTAAATGTGAAAGTGGATAACATACAATTTAAATCCATTGATAAATTTAATGTTTGGACAAAACATCAACATAAAGTTCTGTTTACCAACAATCATGGTACAATGAAAACCAGCTCATATTCCTGGACAATATATAATTGTGTTAGATCTGTTTATTATCAAACTAAAGACCAAGGAAAAGACACTAAAAAACCACAGGCTTTCAACATGTTGATCGGACTGCATATGGCTGGATAGCAAAATTATAGTACAAAAATAGAACACTGTACCTAAGGTCACAAAAGTTTCTAAAACAATGGCGTCAGAAATAGTCATCGACGTTCCCAAAAGTAAACAAAACTATACGCACTTGCGCATTCTCATCAAATCCAATCCCTGTGTTGGTGTTTTGACTCGCTTTCTCAAAAGTAGTTATCGCCGTTCTCAAAAGTAAATAAAAGTATACGCGCTTGCGCATTCTCATCAATTTCAATCCCTGAGTTGGGGTTTTGATTCGCTTTCCCAAAAGTAGTCATCGCCGTTCCCAAAATTAAACAAAACTGTATGCGCTAGCGCATTCTCATCAATTTCAACTCTTGAGTTGAGGTTTTGACTCGCTTCCCAAAAGTCAATGCCGTTTGCAAAAGTAAACAAATAGGCGTTCTCGAAAGTAAACAAATCTATACACGCTTGCGCTTTCTCATCAATTCCAATTCCTGAGTTGGGGTTTTGACTCGCTTTCCAAAAGTAGTCATCGCCGTTCCCAAAAGTAAACAAAACTATATGCGCTTGCGCATTCTCATCAATCAATTCTCATCGCTCCGGAGACGATCCAATCCGATCTAGCGCGATTCGGACATTCGGCTTACATTTTTAAGGGATCTCTTTACATCTATGGAGGTTTCGATGGTCAGATGTTTTCGGACATGTTTCGGACATCCTCAAGTACACACCAGGTACTTGCGATCATCTGAGCGCGCAGAACGTCTGCTTGAACACCAGACCCGGAGTGAAGTGCGTTTGGGACCACAAGAATGGGAGGTGCATCAACATTAAGGATGTGCCGAGGACTCAATTCAGTAGTGCCGATTCCGTCATCCTCCGTTGTCCGGAAATGAATTTTCCCTATATTGGTCACAAGTTCTTCGAGGATATGGAGATTTGCAGTGAGATCGAGGATTGCGCCAGCTGCGTTTCCACAACCAGGAAATGTGTCTGGTGCAAGACGCGTCAGTTATAAAATCAATTCATCAAAATGTTAAATTAAATTTTCATTTTATTTTAACGTGCGCCTATGATTCGTGCAAGGATTCAAATGATCTCCCTATTTTCTCTTTAGACCAATGCCCGATGGATGCGCGACCGATGTGCGATAAGTTGCATACGTGTAAAGCATGCAGCGCTCAAACTTACTATTGTAAGTATCCGAAGTTAGTTGATAATTATTAAGCAATTAATTAATTAATAATGGTTACTTAGGTAATGGTCTTATGAGACCGCTAAATTCTCGACGTATACTCCGCCAACTACCGGAAACAATCAGACCGATGTGATGGTTATAGGTCAGGGCCAGCAGTATCCTCGATTCTGCTCTGAGTACAGCTCTTGTCAGGACTGCACCCGAGAAGAGTGTATTTGGTGTCACTGCTACGAAGATCCCATAAACAAAGGATTCTGCTACTGTAAGTACTCATTCTTAGAAATCTCTGAAACTGAACGTACGTTGCAATCTAAATAAATTGTGCATTTACAGATGATCTCACAATCGATTACCAGTTCACGTTCAATCTGTCCAAGAAGGAGAACCCTACACGCAGATCAACTTCCGGAATTCGGTATCCCCTCTGGATACAGATTTCGTTCTCGCAACCTCCCAAGCTCAATCTTTATCACATTGGACCGCATTCGTCAAATTCAAAATGCTGGAAACAAAGCAAGACTTGAAGCGGCAAACTGAAATTTTGCGGAAGCATTCGGAATATACGAATGGTTCCGAATTCATCCAATTCTTCTCCTTATGCTCCTCCCAAGCAGGGGTTACTAGTTAATTCAATGGTCGCTAGTAGTCGCTAGGGGAATAAAAATTGAAGTGCTGCCACTACAACGAATCTAGATCATTCGCTATACCAACCGTAAATAAAAAAATATATATAAAACACAAGCACGCGCATTGTTATATAAATATAATGGTATAAAAAAAAATTAAAAAATAAAATAATATATATATAAATATAAAATGTTTTTATTTACGAATATACTATATAGTAATTAACAATTTCAAAAATATTCCACGTTCAGATATTTCTTATAGATGATCCAAGTTGACTCGTGCATGATACATCCAATCTAAAGAAAAACATTAATTAATCGCCATTCTTTTTATCATCACTTACTACTTCTATTGTTTTGCAGATGAAGTCATCTGAAGTAATATGACTGTTATCATTAGCTCTATCACTGTTGACAACAATACCCCTACTGGTTCACAAGTTGAAGTTTGAAGTTTAAAAAATATTTATTTAGAGTAGATATACATACATGGAGTGAGATATTTTTAAGGGGTGGCGTACATGTGAGCTTGAGCTCATTTAGCCAGAAACATGATTAGCTTTAAATAGTACAAAAAAAAAAAAAAGTAAATGTTTTAAGGTAATGGTAATATGGTAACTGGTTCACAATAGGAGTCATCTAAATTAATAAGATTGTCATCGACAACTATTTCACTATCAACAATTATAATTTCTTTGGGCTCAACTTCTGTTTTACAATACGAGTGATCTAAATTATAAAAATTGTCCCTAATAATGCTGTTACTATCATTAGTACTATCAATTTTTCAACCTCTACTACTTCCAACAAATTTTCTGTTAACATTGGAAAATCGTAAAATTGAAAGACAGGTTTTCTTCTGAAAATTTCAGTGAAATGTAGATTACTAACTCTCTTAATACACTTTATACGCTCCTTATCCATATTTTTCAATGATTTCAATGGAGAATGAAGCGGAGGAAATGATCTCAATGGAATACCATCGCCGCTTTTAGTATCGCACCCTTTTACGCAGCAACAATAAACCATCCTAATATACAGCGTACATTAATTCAATTGTACTTAGACACACGCGTATATAAAGAATATTTGTGGAAATGTTACTTACTTGCAAGTGTTTGCTTGTGTTATTCAAAACGGCGAAATACAAATATGGACGAACATAGACAAAAAGAAGTTTGAAACTACATAAAAAAGTTTATGATTGCAAAGTAAACATTTGAAACATTTCCGAATAGTTCCGAATTCAACCGATTTCCGATGAAAATCTTCTTCTCTCCAGACCACGCAGACAAGGCCCTTACCAACTGGTTTCATTTTTATAATATCATGTGCAGGCCCCCAGCGACCGACACGTCAAGTGTACTAACTGCAGCGGCGCACACACCGCGAGCTCCATCACCTGCCCGGTGTACATAGAAACACTTAGCAGGAAACACAAAATGAATAAAACAAAAAACGCGCAACAACAGCTGGCGGTCTCGAGTCGAGCGCCGCACGGTTGTGGCGGCCACATTTCGCGGGAACGAGGGGGCGGACGTGTGATGCAACTCTCGCAAAATCGCCTACTTGATATGCGAACGTCACTCGCGGTGGCATCACCACCGCTACCGCCATCGGCGAGGAAGGCATCGACGTCTAAGTCCTGGGCGCAGGAAGTGGAAGAGGAGTGAGGGAGACACTACCGAGACGGACGAAGTACAAAAGACCAACGCTGGCACCGGCAGCAACACCAGTGACGCAGGAATCCATCCCTGGCAGCGGAGGCGGCGCTCCCACGTCGGCGGCAGCGGCGGCGGCCTCGGACGACATAGCAGCACTCAAGTACTACCTGAGGGTGCGACAGGAGACGGCCGGCAACATAACCAAAAATAGAGCCTGCTTGCCATCCACTAATAACACCAAATTTAACTACAGCATAACTAATTGGAAAAATTTTAGGAAAGAAATAGATCGGAGACTCACGCTGCCAAAATCGTGCCCATCAACAAGTGCTGCTATTCAGGAAGCCATGGAAGCAACCATTCCTAAAATAAAAAGAGGCCACTCGAATGGCGAGCTGCCGCAGCATATAGAGCGGCTCATCACCACCCGCAATCGCCAGAGACGGCTGTGGCAGCGAAGTCGCCTTCAGACTGATAAGCTCCTTATGAACCTCTACACGGCACAAATTAAAATAGCGATAAGCGAACACCGCAACGAGGCGTGGTACAGAAGGCTAAGCAGTCTCCGACCCACCGATAACACTCTCTGGAGGCAGGTCAAAATGCTCACCACCGAACCAGCACCATTACCCGCTCTGAGTAGAACGGGCGACGACTCGAGCGAGACTGCCATCAGCGACCGGTCGAACGCTGAGATGCTGGCGGAGCACTACGTCGAGGTGCACCACATCGGAGACGCGACCACCGACACGCGAGAGCAGCGCGGGGTTAGTGATCAGGTTAGTGAGTTCCTTGAGCGGGCTCGGCAACATACCAATCCATTAGAAATGGAACATATGATGACCAGACCGAGTGAGGTGAGAGAGGTCATATTGAGGACTGTAGCGAGAAAGGCACCAGTGGGTCGGTGTTAGCACCCTTATTATTTGCCCTATACATCAACGACATACCCAAGGGCTTGAACACTAACCTAGCCCTCTTCGCTGACGACACGGCAGTGTACGGGACGTCGGAGACTGCGAAGATTGCAGCAAGGAAAGTGGAAATCCATCTAAAATCCATCAAAGTTCCAACCGCAGGAGGTCGCAGACAAGATGTACATTAAATACCTTGGCGTGCGCCTTGACAGGCGGCTAACCTACAGGAAGCACATGCAGCTAACGGTCGCCAGGCTTTATGAAGTTATGAGGCAGCTATACCCTCTGATGGCCCAGAGAAGCGGACACGACACTTTATGCCAAGAAATTTAATGTACATTATCTCTCATATTACTTCCTGTATATATAACACATAATAACTATACCAAATAAAGAAACTTTTAAATAATAATAGTTCTCGTTCGATCACTGAAGTTAAGCACCAGTTCTCGTTCCCAGTCGCGCTCGGTCCGCCGAGCGAGGCAGACGTGTCTCCGCATCGCCGCGCAGTCGCATATACCAGTGAGTAGTACAGTACTATCAAAAGCCGCTTGCCGGCTACACAAGCTTGGCAAGCGGCAATAAAGACTAAAACAAAGCGTAAAGTGAATATTCTGTGTCGTGAGTGAAAATGATTAAAGAGTCTGTTATGCCGAACATCGGCCATGTACAGCCACAGACCAGACGGATGACCAGGGCAGCCCAAGCCAGAGACCATTGTAATTGAGTCGGAACCGGAAATGAGTGCTGAACCCTAACGTGCCGCGGGGGATAAACGGAAAAAGGCAAGGGCGAAAGCCATTGTTCGCCGTTCGGGATCTGTTCCTTCGGACGAGGGGAATGGCGCCGCGCGGGTGAAAAAAGGAACCAACCGTCGCGATACAAAGGTCGGGCGTTGTTGTGACAAAGAACCGAATGAGTCACGCGTCACCGAGTCGACGCCAAGCGACGCGCATGATTGTGACAAAGTGCCGAGCGGGGCTCTTGCTATCGACTGTGAGCCGAGTTCAAGCGAGGCGCGTGTTTGTAATGAAGAGATATGGCCAAACGTTGGGCATGGCCGTGACAAAAAACCGACCGAGGCACGTGCCGTGGAGTCGAGGCCAAGTGAGGCGCGTGGCTGTAACAAAGAGCAGAGACAAAGTGAGGCTAGTTCGGCCGACTCAGAGGAGGAGGACGAGGAGAATGCCAACTCAGGCAGTGACTGGAGCGTCGTCACCTCCCCGCGTTCCAAGAATAAAAAAGCACGCGAGGACACAAAAGTGAAGAGTGCCGCGAAACCAAGAAAGCCGCCGCCAATAATGACGGAGTTCAAGCTGGACAGAACCGCCATCCAAAAGCTAGCAAATGCCGTAAAACCGGACAATTTTTACGTACAGCAGAGGCAGAGAATTAGCACTGATACCATGCATGCGTACTATCAGGTGAAGGAAGTGCTGCAAAACATTAAAGTGGACATGTACACGCCCAAAGAAGAAGCTGTCGTGTCCGACCAATTTATTGTCATCTATTGTATAATTAAT